AGCAGGCAAAATATTAACATTTCCAGTTCTTTACAGCTGGCGTCCTGCTTCAATACTTTGACATTCAACATACCATAATATTTTTGACTGCCAGGTCCACTTTTCATAAAGCACCTTTCAAGAATTCTTTCCTGCGATTAGCAATATTTCAAGTCTTCATTGCTTGGGTTGCATTTTCATTTCCTGCAAGTCACTGAGATCATATTTGATCAGCTGGGCTCTGTGGTTCCTGTGGCAGCCTAGTACCAAGGCATGGAAATGTAGCTTTTGGGTAGTGTCAGAAAGTCAAGCCCCAAAGTGCCCAGGACACAAAAATGCTAAGTTTAGGGAACAGGGTTTATATAAATAGACCAAAAGAAAGCCCCCATACATACTTTTTGTTTTTCTTTTTGGTAGAGAGAGATTTTTGGTATAGGGTACATGTGCTCATTGGAGAGACAGAGGAAGACAGAGAGACAGAAAGTGAAGAATCAGCCCCCAAGGGGGGATAGCTACACCACAGTCCCATCTCCTCCAATCTCCTCTCGGGATTTTGGGCATGCACGCACACATCCTGTGTGAGTTTTAAGCTACTGGGTCCAGGATTCAAACTGTTGTTGACTATAAGGGAATCCAGTGATGTAACCATTATGCTATCTGCTGGTCCCAGTGCCCCACATTTTTATATATATAATTTGGGGTGACAAGTCAGAGTCCAATACTCAAGTTTTGTTTTGTTGTTTTGTTTTTTCCCCTATAAGTAGCTGTGTTGCTGCTCTCAGATGCTGTGGTATGTGGGGAAATTAGTAAGAAACAGATTTGGCAGCATGGAGGGTAATAAAGGAGATGGGAAGATTGGGGCCAGTCCTGGGCTAAGGAGTTTCGTCATTAGGAAGAAACCACTAGGGAGTTATCGAAGGATTTCATTTGCTTGTTCGTGTGCTTGCTTTGCAAAAGCAATATGTAACTCAATCAGAGCAATCCTGTAAGAAGCTCAATCTGCCAGTCCAAACCATCTGTGCAGACAAAGACTTTAACTAGGAAGGAGAGTCAGGAATCTAGCAGGGAAGCTCTGAGATGGAGCCAGGTAGAGGCAGAGGGGTCACGTGAGATCTGAGCACCTGCTGACCAAAGCCTTCTGCTTAATCCCGTGTGCCGTGTTCCCTGTGCTAGCCCAGCAAGATAACCAGGCCAGACCACCAAGCAACCATAGTCAGTTGGTGGTGAGTGAAAATAGAGCATGCAAGTAGAGTAGACTGAGCCAAGGAAACAGGGACTGATTTCCTACATGCCGCACTCCCAGCAGGGATGCAGTGGACCCCAGTGTATGGTCCCAGTTCCAGGGGGCTGGTTTCTCACACCTTCCTGGGTGGGCGAAATGACCATCTTCTTCCCTCTGAGATTTCCCCCTTGTCTTGTCCGCTGCTGTGTGTGCATGTCAGGCTAAGAGAGGGGCCAGTGAGCACCCGAAAGGGGCCGGTGGAGGAAGGGAGCCAGGTGTACCCCCCTCGCCCTGTGGTGCTCCTGCTTCTGCAGAAGATCAAGGAAGCTTTTCCCAGCAGGCTGTCGGCTCCTTGGGCCAGAGTTTGGCTTGTTTCCAGACTCAGTATGACTGATGTGAAAACTGAGTTTTCTGAGCAGGCGCTTGTCTGCCCTCTGGGGTAGTCTTACTTCTCTGAAGATAAAGTAAGTGAGGAAGCACTGAAGTAAAGAATTGGCAATAAAAAAATGAAAAATGGAAACCATAAGATAAATGAGAATTATTGGATCAAATATGAAAAATGGTAAATGTCAAAGCGCTTGATCATTTTTCTGCTAACAGACATTGTGAAGATAGAAGTCTCCATCAGTCTTCTCTCCCCTTTCTCTCCCTCTTGCTACTGTCACAAGATCTTGGCACAAGAAGGATTTGTTGTTTGGGTGGGGGGTAGCAACAAAGAGCAAGGCAGAAGGACAAACTCCTCTTTGTTGTTGTTGTTTGTTTGTTTTCTTAAGATGTATTTTTGCTATAGGGCGCATGTGCTTGCCAGAGACACAGAGACAGAAAGCGAGAAATCACCCCTCCCCTCCAGGAGGGATGGCCACACTGCAATCCATTCTCCTCCACTCTCCTCTCGGGATTTTGAGCACGCACGCACACGTGTCCAGCATGAGTTTCAAGTAGCCGGGTCCAGGACTTGAACCACAACGATGTAACCATTATACATACCATCTGCTGTTCCCCAGCATCCTCTTAAATGAGAGTCTGAATGCACTAGTAATTTTTGCTACCTAGAACAAGATGTTGAATTGTCACTTTCTAAACCTTCTTAGTTCCTGTTTGAAAAGCTTAACTCTTCGGGACCAGCAGTTAGCGTAATGGCTATGTCGCTGGACTCCCACGTAGTCGACCATGGTTCAAGTCCCAGACCCGGTGGCTTAAACTCACGCCGGGCACGTGTGCGTGCATGCCCAAGATCCTGAGAGGAGAATGGAGGAGAGGGGATTGCAGCGTGACCATCCCCCCTGGGGGGTGATTTCATGCTTTCTGTCTCTCTGGCAAGCGCAAGCGCCCTATAGCAAAAACCTCTCAAAAAAAAAAAAAAAAAAAGCTTAACTCTTCAGTAAAAGTTCATATTCGCAATAAAGTACACCTGCCATAAATGAAGTACCCCACTATATTCTATTTATAACACCAAACTCACTTCGAAAACAAACCATGTTCCCCACGCCCTGCAAAGGTCTGTTCCAACCAGGCAATGGGCCTGATAAAATAGGTGTTTCCTTTCATGTCACAGAAATCTTTGTTTAGGGAGGAAAATTAGGAGTATTTGTTTTAAGCCACTACGTGCGTCCTCTTGAACTGTTAACATGGGGAACAGAGGTGGTGGCCATACTGGAATAGAAGATACGGATACTGAGTAAACATGCCTATGACCTACTTCAAGTTTGGTGGTCCAGCTGGTGTTTTCATTGGCCTGTAAAAACTCCAGGTATTTGCAAAACTATTCTATTGGGTTGCTGGAAAAGTCATGACATATTTTTCTGTGCAAAGATGAGTCAGGACTTTTCCGACAACCCAATACATAGGAAATTAAGATAAGTTAACATTTGAGCTAGGGCATATATTTGGACACAATTTCTCCCTCTTTGGTTAATATCCTCCCTTCAATTTCTAGCCCTGCAGTTACTATTATAAATTCTCAACAATATTAAATAAAAATTATTTTGTATTCCAGATTAGAAATATCTTAAGTGTTTCCATTCATGTGTGTTTTCCTCATCCCATTATATTCTTTCTCTTCACATAATATTTATGTAAGTCTTACTAGTACTCGACTTCCTTCTCTTCACATAAGTCTTACTAGTACTCGACTTCAGGAGTCTTAGTAGTGTGCTATACTGTTAGAAAGACCTCCTAGCCAAACTGGCTTGCTATATCTTGTTTTTTTTGGGTTTTTTAAGAGGTTTTTGCTATAGGGCATGTGCACTTGCCAGAGAAACAGAAAGCGAGAAATCACCCCCCTCCCCGAGGGGATGGCCACACCACAGTCCCTTCTCCTCCATTCTCCTCTGGGATTTTGGGCATGCACGCACATGTGCCTAGCATGAGTTAAAGCCACCGGGTCTGGAACTCGAACCACCGTCGACTGCATGGGAGTCCAGCAACATAGCCATTACGCCAACTGCTGGTCCCAGGGCTTGCTATGTCTTCCCAATGCTTTTCTCTCTGGGTAAATAGGCCATCGTTACTATAGTAGACATAAGAGACATCTCCTGTCTGCCCTCTCCCATCATCTCCTCATCTCACAGAGCCTGACGCAAACCGGCTTACTAGACCATGTACAAATGGAAAAGCAAGTCTAGTCAGAGTTCAGAAAAGGTAAGGAAATGAACCTAGAAAGTCTAGTGTAGAGAAAAACCTTAAAACATATCCTAAAAGTTTCAAAGTTTTTGTTTGGTGATACTATAATATAAGTAGGTGTTCTTGACTAGCTAGTCCATGGGGGAGGATCAAGTACTCCAAAGAAAAGTACCGTACTTCTGCAGTATCACCAAAGAAAGAGGAAAGATGGTACTTGCTACAAATTATACAGCTTGACAACACAGTCTGTGTATATGTGTGTAAACATTTCTTATTTTTCTTTTTAAAAAAATTTTGTTAGAGGGCCTATGTACAGAGAAAGAGTTGGGGGTGAGAAAGCACCCCTCACGGAGAATGGCCATGCCACAATCCCTTCTCCTCCATTTCCCCTTTTGAGACTTGAGCAGGCATGCACACATACAGCATGTTTTCCAAGCCACCAGGTCTGGGATTCAGACTGCAGTCAGTCATGCCTAAGATTCCTTCAGTCACGGACTAAACCACACTCAAGTTCAAATTCTAGTTCTGCCATTTGCCATGTTTTTAAGCACGTTCTTTCACTGCTGGAGTGTCACTTTCCTTGTCTATAGTGATTATTCTAATTTCATAGGGCTGCAACGAAATTAAGTTGCTTTTAAGTCTTTTTTAAAAATTATTTTATTTAACTTTATTGATTATTATTATTATTTTAATTTGACCAGAAAAAGAAATAGAGGGAAAGTGAGAAAGCAAGCTACAAGATCCGGAACTTGAACCACAGTTGGCCATGTGGGAGTCCAGCACCTTTAACCATCTGCCTGCCCTAAAACAGCACCCAGCTCGGTAGATTTTTCATGAATTATTAAATTCATGCTTTCAAGAGCTTACTTAGATTTCAGTTTACTTTCTAAAGGGGTTCTGCTTATTCATTGTACTTAGACTATCTGAAACTGTATTGCTTATTTTCAGACTTGCTACCTACTGTCTGCCCATCAGCTCTGTCCTCAGGTTGTTGTCAGTACCTGGTCCCTTGCTGTGCCTAGAACATGCCTGGCACGCAGAGAAGAGTCAGTTGTTACTTGTGATTATGCCTTGTTCACATTCTTTCCAGTGGCCCACCTTGTGACCAGGAAGTTGGTCAGTACAGAACCACCGCCATGCCCCGTCCCAACATTCACTGATCTGTGCTTGGTTCCAGCCATCTTCCGTTACCTGAAGAATGATGGGAAGATCCATTTGGTGGTTTTCAACAACCTGCAGCTGGCTGACGGGAAGCGGCACAGGATCCTCCTGAGACTTAGCAATTTGCAGCGAGGGGCTGGCTCGGTAGAGTTCTACCTGGACTGCACCCAAGTGGATTCTGTTCACAATCTCCCTAGAGCCTTTTTAGACCTCTCCCAGAACTCCGAGTCCATCGAATTGAGGACTTTCCAGAGGAAGGCTCAGGTAGGAACCCACAACCCATACTCCAAGGTGGAGAGAGGGCTGCCACGGCCTAGGGAGTGCAGGGAGTGTGCTCAGGAAAATGTGTCAGGCCATCCCTGCTATGGTCAGTGGGCTTGTGCTGAATCGAGTTAGAGCACCTGAGGGACTCTAACACTGCTGGAGGGCTGGCCCCTAAGACAGATTGAATCAGAATCTGCAGGGGCAGTGCCTAAGCATCCTTACTTTAAAAAATATGGATTCTAGGGACTGACAGATGGTATAATGGTTACGTTGCTAGACTCCCACACAGTCAACCACAAAGTCGAGTCCCATCATGGAGGCTTAAAACTCACACAGGGTACGTGTGCACGTCTGCCCAAAATCCTGAGAAGAGAATGGAGGACAAGGGATTGTAGCATGGCCACCCCACCCCACCGTGGGGAGGGGGGTGATTTCTCACTTTCTATCTCTCTCCATCTCTCCAGTGAGTGCATGCATCCTATAGCAAAAAATCTAAATATACAATAAAAATACGAATTCTAATGTAAAACCAAATTTAAGAGCCTGCGTTGCCAGTGGTGAGGAGAGACTCTGGATACAATTGGAAAGTTGGAAAGGAATAGCCAAAATAAAAATAACTACCTTAGGGTAATAGGATGATGTATTTTCAATCTTCCCATAATGTCATTATTTATTATATTTTAATGAAAATGAAAACAAGTGATTGGAAACTACCAAGCACTAGAAACAGCATTTTTCACAGGTCTTCTCAGAACATCCTCTAACAAAAAGGAGCTTATTTCCAGCTTTGTTCTGTGGTTTTAAAAACTCCCAGCACCTATGTCTCTTGGTTTACACCATGTTGATAGCATTTTTTATTGCATCATTGCACCTGCTATAGAAATAGCCATTTATATTTCTTTTAGAATTTTTGTGCTAGAAATTGTTTTATTTTCTATTAAAAAAAACATGTATTTTTTGTTCTTTTCAATAATACATAGCTGGTCATAGTGTCTGAATTTTATCTGATACAGACGTCAATGCCAAAATCAGTAACCATGTTCATCTGTTATGACCCGTAACAGTGTCTTCTATCTCTCCACCCTAATTTTCCATTTATACTTTATTATTTCATTATATGTGCTTTAGTTATAAGCTGCTCTGATCCTTTTGTATGAAGAGGCAGGATGTAAGTAATCATTTCCATTCCAAGTAGATTGCTTTGGAGTTTTAGATAATAATGTGAAAACTGTGCATCTGACCCTAGAATTTTGTGCTTGAAGAACAGGAAGCATTTTTTTTAAACTTGCTATAGGGCACATACTTTTGTCAGAGAGAAGTAGAGAGAGGAAGGAAAAGTGAGAAAGCACCCCCAGAGAGATGACCACATCACAATCCCTTCTCCATTATCCTCTCAGGATTTTGGGCACACACACATGCACCCAGTATGTTTTTTAAGCCTCCAGGACTCGAACCATGCAGTTGGCCACATGGGATCCAACCATCCCAACCACCATGCCATCAGCTAGCCTAATAGGAAGCATTTTTAAGCAGAAATTCCAAGAAAGCTGAAGTCCAAGAGTTTTTTTGGCCAGTTGATTTTGTTTGGATTTTGTAGTCATGTATATTGTATATATAGATTTATATATATATATGTGTGTGTATGTATATATATATATATATATATA